GCGACATGGCGGCGAGCAGTGTCCCCTTCGCTAGTGGCCAACGGGAGACGCAAAAGCCATTAAAAAAACCACCACTTTCTGCCAAAAAAGTAACACACCGTGTTGTTTAGAAAAAAAGATCCCCGTTAGGTTCAAGCGTTACCAGTTTAGATGATCAAGAGCGCTTCGGAGCCCTGCTCCTGAGGTAACTGTCCACATCTTGCAGGAGAGCGCCAGCAAGATGTCGCTTACCTCAAAAATAGGCAAAATTTCATTAAAAGGGGCTAGGAAGCAAAGTTGTGAAATACTAGAGAGCATCCAAGGCCATAGAGGAGCAGAAACCTGGGAACAAGTGGTCAAAACTAATGTACGCCCCATGCAAACACTGCATACAGGCTTGTGGAAACATTTTCCTTTCTTTTGGGGGTGGCTTTTCACCAGGAGAAAGCAAGCTGCGGCAACCATCACTCTGCCTCCATCGCCAACTCAACATCACCTCCTATAAATATTTTCTTTCCCATTTCCCAAACTCTGATGAAGACCCCAGCACTGCCCACCTTCCCATCCGGCAGTTTGATCTCCCTTCAACTTAAACCCTGCCTTCCCTTTCGTTATCCCTAAGCATTGGGGCAGGTGAGACAAGTTTAAAATATTTCTTTATACCATTAGCACATCTTAGCTAGAATGGGAGGGTTTGTGCTACTGCACAAGCAACGACTGAAAAATGTAATTTCATACATTGTATACAGAATAGTCACCTTATATTTTAAAATATTTGTAACTTAAAAAAACAAACAAACAATCTGCATCCTACAATACAAAAAAAAAAAAAAGCAAGCCTTTTCTTTATCTTGATTGGGTTTTGGGGAACTTCTAGGGGCAAGAAGACCCCAGTTTTGTCCTCTTTGTGACCATGCAATGCATTATTTTAGCATTTACCTCTCTAACGAACAGAGTTCTAGCAGCCCTCAATGTCTTCCTCAAGATTTACACCTCAGTCCAACAACGCACACAGCTTTTGTACTGAATAAGTAACAAAGATTAAGAACAGCTGGACAACATGGTGCTCGTTCAAACATGGGCTATGCTTTGGCAGGATCAGGGTGAAAGTACTTGTCTGCTACACAGCTTTTTGTGACACAGAAATAATTACAGAAGAAAGATGTGGCAAATTTCAAAGAACCACTAGAGGCCACTAGAAGTCTGAAATGCTGGACTGAAAGATGGGATAAAGGGAGAAAGCAGTTCAGTTCTTCAGGATGACAAATGCAATCCTTACCAGTAAAGGAATTGATATTTAAGGCTGGTATTTGCTTTGTAGCTTTTTCACATAATACGTAAAAATCAGAAAATACAAGAATAAAATTACTTCCATTATTTCAATAAAGTAATTTCAAAGAGCAGTGCACGTACCTGATGAACAGAATTAGCAGGAGTCCCAGCTAGAAAGGGTGGGAAAAAAGTGAAGGAGAGTTTCCAGACAGCAAAAAATGTCAGCTTCAGTTTTGCCACTTTGCTAATTTTTAGTTCTGTCCATGATTTCTACCTTTAATTTTGTGGTTTCTTTCCTTAAAAATGAACCTGTTTCAATTTTTTTTTAAGGTTACACTAACAATTCTTATTTTTAAGAACTTACCAATCAAATGTGTTGTGAAAAATAAATAAAAAAAAAATATACCTGCTACCCACCATCTTTCTGTCCTGGTCATTGCATTTTTTTAAGATACCAGCCACTTCGACATGCAGTCATCTCACATGAAACAGATTTTGTGTAATAGCAGTGAATACTGACAAGCCTTTTGTCTAAACGGAGAAACAGCAACATCCAGTTAATTCTTGCCTCACAGTTTAGCGGTAATTAAGCAAAGACTAACCATCAGTGAAACCATGAACATGGACATTCTAAGATAAATTGCCAAATAAAAATGGACAGATTCTGTTTGGCCCAGAAGCCAAATGCATCCATTAGTAGGTGTACTCAGGAGCCCTCTAGATTGATGGTAAAAAAATCAAAAAATATACAGGTGTTTCTCTTATTTTCCAAGACTGACAAATTTGAAACATCTGGAGCCATTCCACTGTTGTTTTTCCCCATAGCCCTCTCCTTGAAAAATACATATAACTGTAAAATCTTAGTAAATTTTGTTAAATGAATTAATTTTAAAGGAAATCCCAACTCCATATTTGTACCATGTTAAAGTCAGCTATAGCTTTTGAGATTGGCAAAAGGTACGAAGCAAGGCTGACAGTTTACTGACTTGCTGAAGCAATGAGCGGTACGTGGCTGTGGTCGGGAGAACACCACCACCTCTGGACTCAAGCCCATTCATGCCTGAAATCCCCGTAACTTCAGTTCATGTGCGCTACTGTAGATTCATTGTGCATGGAGGTATTGAATACATCTTTAGAGCCGTTATTTTCAAAAGGAGCTGAAGCTGATATAGATGTAAATCTCCACTCCATCTGCTGGGAAAATCCCAGCCACTTGCACTTTTTTTTTTTTTTTTTTAGTCTTTTAATTTCCTGATTTCCAGGCATGGTTTCACATTCTTAATGAGGAGTCCAAAGTGGGGATTTGGGGGGGATGCATTTCTTTTCCTGATTTATTTAGTTAATAAGCAAACTAGCAGACGAAACTCTATGTAGTTTTCTCCCTAAAAATGTGTTATTTGAAAGTACTAAGGCCAACACAATTCAGTTTATCACACAGGCCAGTGCAGAAATGACCATAAATCCACATCAACATCCTTCAGCGAACCCACTGAAGCCATAGCATAGGCTATGGCTTGCCATCAGCTCTTGCAGGAGTGAGGTGCTGACTGGCAAGGCTTTGTCTCCTCTTTTTGGCACAACTTGCAGTGTAGGAGTACTTTTCTGGCATGTTTAAAAGGACTCCAGCTTCCCCGCGGGGTGGGCCAAAGGATCATGTCACTTAAGGCTGCTCTAGCAAGTGACACCTTCCTAGAAACCATGCTAACAATGTTGTTAAAATCCTGATCCAGATAAACAAGGGCACCAATTACCTAAGCTGATTCCATGCTGACATACACATGAATGCATTTCCAAAAGCAAGAGCCAGCTTTTCCATGCACATACATCTCTAGCGCAGGCTGTGAGTTGCCAGATAAATATTCATTGGGTTAAATAATAACCGTTGGCTCTCAGCTCTTCTAATTTGTTAACAGGAACAGCAGATACGGAATTGGAGTTTCTACAAGCTTTACTTACATAAGGAATCCCACTGACAGATTGATGTCATTCAACCAGACCTCCTCACGTGATTAGACCTTGTGCAATCAGCCTCTTATTTCTTTCCTACTTGTGCTCCAGGCTGAAAATTAGCATTGGGCAAGCCTCAAACAACCCAATTTGAATAACCAGAAGTTTGGATCACGTTTCTTGATGTTTTAAATCTGCCTGGGAAATCTCAGGAGAATTGGTACGTCAACTGTGTAGACCTTCCTACAGCCAATTTCCAGGAATAAAAAAACCACGTTACAAGGATAAGTTTTTCCAAGGCCAGAAGCAAGGTGGTAGATTCTTGGATGAAGCTTCCGATCCATTCTCAAATTTGCATAGTGCTAGCTTAACTGAAATTCACCTTTAAGTGTTTTAGAAAAGCAGATGTCCTGTCTCGTCTTTGCTGAAACATCTGTAAAGCTCCAACCACTGTTAATAGACAAACAATTCCTAGGACGGAGAATAAACAGAGCGCTGCAGTTTTAGAATAATCTTGTATCAAATTAAGGAAGATTAGTCTATTTTGCATTATATAGAAATTTTAGCTCTGTTATTATTAAAAAAGGGACAAAAAAAGAGCAACTGTTTTTAAAGACATTTAATGTTATGAAACATATTACCTTTATATCATTTAAATCCTTGCTAAATCTTAACATCAACAATAATAAAAGGTTTTTAAAAATCTTTTCTTTAACCACACAATATTCTCTTTGTTTTATTCTAGGGCAGAAAACAAACAGAGTCTTCATAAATACAACACTGACATGGAGTATAAGACAAACCCAGGCCAGACAGTTTGCTAAAAAATTTGTGAAAAGTGCATCTGGCTGGCTCAGGACTCCCTGAGTAAGGTAGACATTCTCCCACACACCTCTTGGCTGTTTGGCCTCTCACGAGAAAATCTGAAATAAAGGCTGCCTTTCTCATTTTAAAGGTATTATATATACATGTCACTTGCAGCGTGAGGTAGGAACCAGTTTATAGGGGTTGTATCTAGTCTGGGCCTCACCTCCTTATTGTTGCCCCTCCATTTGCTAGGCAAAAAGACAGATTTAAGTGTACAACAAAGCCTTAGCTACCCATGAAAGTGAACTACTGTTTACTTTCAATTGCAATTCATCCGCTGATTAAAAGGAAGGATTTTCACCTTCAAAGCAATAAGAGGCACAAAAAACTAGATGTAATTTTTTTCCAAAGGATGCCTTCGAAAAAAGGGGACCTGAACACTAGAAGAAAACAGTGTTTCCAGGTGACCTAATCCAAAACTCCATGAAGTTTCTATTTTGTAACTGAACCTGGCCCAGAGTGAATTCTTAGTTGAAAAATAGCAGCAACACAAAAGTGCATAAATTACAAACTTCATCAATAAATTAAGGAAACAGATTTGCTGCATCTCACTATCCTCCTAACTGTCCCAAGATCCTTCTCATTTTATAATGGACACGGAAAATCAGAATAAACATACTACTATTTCAAACCCAAAACTAATCTAAAACCTTCAATAGATTTCTTTCTGAGATAAGGCATCTTGTCTTTTACTGAAATTCAAAAGATATATAGGAAGACTGGAAGGAGCCTAATAATAAGACAACCCCCTCCTCCACCACCGAGGCTTAAACATAGGCTTTTCCATCCATATGTAGACTTTTAATTCAGAGTGTGAGTTTTCAAGAAATGCCGAGCATCTCATTCCCAGGAATACTGATTATTGGAAAGCTTGCACAGTAGGAAGGCTGAGGAGAGACCCAGTCCTGAGCAGAAGGAGAGGCAGGATGCTTCAGAGAAATTTTCAGCTCTAGTAGGTTCAGCTGGGGGGCTTGCAGCTTCTTTCATGTCTCACAGGGACTCCTGTGAGTCCTGCATTCACAGCCTAAGCAGTCTGCTGGCCATTCAAAGACTGCAGGAGACAGTACTGGAGTGACATTTTGGATCCTCATATTGCAGGCCTGGGCTCTACGGGACATAGTAACAGTCACGTCACTGGACCCCCTTCCACCAGCAATCCGTGAGATGTCATGCACAGAGGTAGGAGAAGTGCTTAATCGGTGTACAAGGATTGCATTTACCCTGAAGTTCTTATCGGGACTGTTCTTTAATATGAAATTACTCTTCAGCCTCATAAGACAGGATCATATTCATTCATGGCAGAGATGAATCCATCAGTGAAGCAAGATAGTATCACTAATTGCTTTCTTTGCAGTGAGGTAGTTTCCACTGGCTGGCATGCCCTTGGATAAGCACGCTGTTTCTTGAACGAAAAAGGCAGTTCCCAGTTTATTTGTGGTGAATATTTATTTTTCCTTTAGCACAAATTTAAATGCTGGGTTTCCTTCCAGGGAGGTTGTTCATGGGGGCACACTTATTACAAACAAATTTGGGTAAAGCTTGTGTTTCTGTATCTTAAGCATACTGTGAGTTGACCAGAGTAGATCTAGAAGGCCACTGGTACAGAGGTAGCAGCACAGTATTGTGATAAAGCACTTCCACAATAGCACTTTCAAGTAACTTGAACTTCACAGAATCCACAAAAAAATTCCTGTTAAAAATGTGCTTCGAAAGAAGAACATCAAGCTTTTCTCTTTCCCCTTCCAACTTACTGCAAGCACAGAAATCCTCCTTTTCCTTCGCTAGGACCTACGCTCAGTCCCGGCTGATCCACTGCTAGCTATCAAGGCCACCGCGCAGGGTGAGCGTCCAGGGTCTCGGCTGCAGTCTGTGCAGATGGTAGTCTCTAACAAAAATAATAGTCAAGGGTTCGCTTTGCTAGAAACATGGCTGTGACAGCATTTGCTTCACTGGAGGAAGAAGGTTCAGCTTCAGACCTCGGCCGTGGCTGAAGAAAAATTTCTTTTTTTCTTCCTGGAAAATATTTGTATTTATAAAGCAGGTAAGCTGGTAGCTTTTAAATGTTAGTTTAATGATGTCGGTTTGTAATTTCTGATAAGTGAGAATGTTTCAAGGCTCAAAGATGAGGCAGGCAACCTCATATGTTTAGTATAAACTCACAAGGGGTTAGGATCTCTGACAGCAAAGATAGCGCTTGGTGCGGGCAAAGGTTGCTTCAACCAAAACTACATAGGAATATATATACTAAAAAAATAACCTTTCAGAATTACAGACAAATATGTGTTACACGTAGTCTATGTAGTTAAATCCTTTTTTTGATTTTGGAATTAGATGTCAGTTTTTGAGGTAATCCAGTCACGGAAATAAGTCACCCGTGTGTAAACTCCAGGTTTATTTGGTTTGGCACATTCGTCTCCCCAGCTCACTATTCCCACGAGGTACCACATCAGTCTAGAGTCTGGAGTAACCAGTGGTCCCCCAGAGTCCCCCTAGAGAAAGAGGAGGGGAAAAAAAGATTTAATTGATCAGAAGGGAAAATATAATTCTCTCCATAAACAGGAGGGTGTCTCCAATAAAAGAAGAAAGCAAGCAGTATTTCAAGAGCTGCCATTTGTGCAGAATCCAGCCTGTTTCTGAAACTTGAGTCGGAAGTCTGTGGCTTTTTCCTGTTTGCCATGGAACCTCCTGACCTGTCTCTGTGGATTTACCATTAAAAAAAAAAAAAAAAAAAAAGAAAAAAGCTTCTCTTCTGTTTTGTGAAACACTGCTTCCCACCTGCCTTGTCTTCCTCCTCATACAAAGTAGGGAAACACAAATATATACAGCAATCTAAGCCAACAGCAACTTTTTTTTTTAACAGTAACCACTATCCTTTCAACAAATTCTTTTAGTCACTTGCAGCAATAACATTTCAAGAAGGATTTCATCAGGAACTTGGTCTTCTAATTAGACAATATGTCCTTAAGATGTTAGCCACTTTAAAAGGCTGAATTCAGATACTGTTAATAGCATGACAGGGTAATAATAGTTGAACTGGAAACCTTACAGGCTGAAAGGCAATCCTCACACAACAGACCAAGTTCCCCACCTTCCACCAAAGTGCTTTACTGAAATAGACAGCAGCTGCACCCTTCTGTTCAGGTCTCTTCAGTGCTGAGCCAGACAGGAACGGAGAAACTGAGCCTTCCAGAGTTATTCTGCAGAGAGTTTTGCTTTGGGCATAAATTTGTAGGACTGGCATTCTGGAAAGGGTCTGTTTTGAACCAGCACTTAGGAGTACATTCTTTGTAAATAACATAAATAGAAATTACCTTCTTAAAAGTTATCGTTATGGAAATATTTTTTGTTTGATCATAAGCATTTCCTTGCAACATTTGCAAACCTGCACCACGCATGTATCCTTACTATTCCATTTGCACCTAGCTTCCTTATAGTTATCTTTGTTGAAGACAGTTTTCCTTTGGCGGATCCAAGTCTGTTACCAAAGATCACATCATAACAGATCTGTTATGAGATGATCCAGTCCAGAATTTAATTTCAATGAGTGATAGTGCATTTTTGCTGGCAACTTAACTGCTACATTCTTAAACTTCTTCCTTCCCAACTGTACAGATGTCTGGTCTTAGCTACTTGAGACATTTAATTTTTAGCTCATATTTAATATTTCAGCATTTAGTATCTCTGCCAAAGTCTTGTCATATCACTTTGCAAGCAAATTGTTAGTTAGATTTCACACACAAGGAATTATGAGAAGCAAATGGGCTTGTAGCAGCTATTCTGAGTTACAGAATAAGAATTTCATTTCATGCTATGAAAGGTTTAAATTCTGTTTTTTTTACTAATTTAGCTCTCTTAGTATGGGTTTTATGTGCTAAATGATGTCTACTAAATGCTATTTCATTTTATAACTTAATTCCTGTTTGAATGGAGCCTATTTAAAGGACTAATAGACTGTCAGTTAAGATTTGGTCAACCAGATACTGGAGTCAGCATTAAAATAGTTTTCCTTTCTAATTTTCAGCTACAGTTACCTGACAAGCATCTACTCCTCCTTCCAAGTATCCAGCACACAACATCCTGGGTGTTATGTCTCCGTCGTACACTTCTTTTCTGTTGCAAGTGTTGGAGTCGATAAGTTTCACTGTTGCTTCCTGAAGAGCATTTGGAGTTGGACCTGAGTGAAAATATAGTTTGGGTATGTATCAACAGAATTACTTTGCGGTAGTTAAGATACAGGAAGAGCATTTAATGTTCTCTTATGGAGGAGCAGCTTGACTTGGTTTAATGTGGAGGTTTTGCTTGTTGATCTGTCTGGGTTAGGCCCTTAAAGAAAATGTACATACTCACAGCCTCACTTAGGAACTGTACCATTAAGACAGAAGTAACGATTGCATGGTACATAGTGCTTTAAGTATAAAACCATGTATTTTATACACGCTCCATATCATATCATGGAACACAAATTACCTAGCAATTTGGGCAGATGATATGAAATGAAGACATCTTGGTTCCATGGATAAATCTACTCTTAGCATGGCCTGATAAGAATGCGAGCTTGGGTAAGTCACCATCTGCAGCTCACTCTGCACGTTTACCTGAAAGCCCACAGAGTTATCTGTAGCTTCTGGCTAGGGCTGGGAGAATATTCTTTTAGGTGCTATATAAACACATGCATGGCTGGACTACCTGTCTTAAGAATTTACAATACGAAATGGAAAGGCTAGAAGAAGAAAACAGTCTTCTTTCTGTTTTCTGCTTCTGTGGATTGTAGCTCTGTCTTTGTCCAGTCTAATTTTAGAACAATAAACTGCTGCTTATGATTAAACAAGCCTATTGCTTATAGACAAAGCATTAGGCTTGCTGCCATCCAACATATGGCTACAGAAGTAGTATCAATTCAGTAGTAGATCAAAGCCCCTGTTAATGTAACATACAGGTCGCCTGGTAGACTCAGGACTCACCGTCATTAGTAAGTGCTCCCCAGCCTGTGATGACAGCATAAATATTGTACGGAAAAGTCTGAGATGGCTCAGGCAGACAAACGCGGTGTATGCTACTCGTAAACTCAACTTGTTTAGAGAGCTGCACCAGGGCAATGTCATAATCATGTTCTGGGTAGCGGTACTTTTCATGAATAATAATAGTCTTGACTGATCGTTTCAAGCTTGGTGGCTTCAAAAGAGCTCCAAAAGTAGCAGTCCACTTCTGAGGGTGACTCATGCTGAAAAAGGTAAGAGTGCTGTAAGTATTTAGCTGTAAATATAAGTGTTCGGGACTTTAAACTTGGTGAGCACCTTTATTGTAAAGCTCCTTCAAGCCAGCTTCCTACTAGATTCTTAAGGCATCCATCACTTTCCATAACACGGTGTCCCATGTAATTGTGGGCTGCTGCTAGAAGAGTGCAATTCTGCATTCCCTCCTCAACCATGGTCTCATGCTCCTCCCCTGCTCCTTGTCCCAGATCTAGCCATTGTGTGGCCGCAGGGTGTGAGCAAATCAAAACAACTCTTCTGCTACAAAACTCTTCATCTCTGTTACTCTTTTTGCATGTTAATAATCTGTTCAATCAGCTGTTCCATCTTACATGCCCTGCAGCTTCACAATTGCCATGCTTGAAACAAAAAAGTGCTGGGAGTGCGTGGCTGAATGGAGGGGTAGGAATGTGAGATTACAACTTCTGGTAGCAGGCTGCAGCGGCAGCAACCTAGTTGTAACACAAAGGAGCAGCAGGAAACAAATACTCTGCCATTTCAGTCACATTACCTTTTCTGTACTTCTTTGCCAAGTGACTATTGATTTCCACTCACACAATTGCCAGTTCTGCTCCAAAGAGTTGGTCTTCAATTTGTCATTGAAACATTCAAGTGATGGGTCTGCTTAACCCTGACTTTTCTCCTCTGAGGCAGAAAATTGTTCCCTCTGCAAAGAGTCAGGGGTGTGGTGCAAATCTGGAAAGCCACAAAACTTGGTACCCGTGGGGCACATTCTACTGCAGATGGTCTCTAAGATGAGAACTTACTCTCTGAAGCAGTGAGCTGCAGACACAAGCCATGTATTGCTGATGAGCGTTGCACCACAGCGATGGATATTATTGTACTGCAAACTAGCTTGCCATGGCCAGTCCCCGGTCTCTGCAGAAGACAATCCGCCAACTATTCGCAACGATGATGATTTTGCCATTGACTTGACTGATTTATTCTGCCGTAACCCACAGACTGTT